CATGAGAGAGAGAGAGAGAGAGAGAGAGAGAGAGAGAGAGAGAGAGAGTAGAATAAAGTAGAGCATAGAGAGAGAGAAAGAGAGAGAAGAGAGTGGAAGTTGCAAAAAATGTTGTGATAAACTAGCAAAGTGGAAAAAAGCCGAAAAAGTCATTTTCCCGTCGTCATACGTGCCCTTTAGCCAATCCGTCGGCTTTATAAACCTTTTTGGCGCACGGGGAAGGCTGTAACGGGGAGATGCGTGCGAGTTTTATCGAAAACATGCCGTTATAGCGTTATCGAGTAATAAAAACTGTAGAGAGTATCCGCACACAGTACTGCGCTACGTTGTTGAGCGCGATCAAAACTATACACGGTACACAGTTTTTACACGATTACCCGTAATAGAAACCTTGCACTAAACGTGCGAGGTCGCACGTGGATGGATTGCTTGGTTATTTCCAAATTGAAAGAGCGACCTCTTCCTAGCCACTAATTGGCCAGCAATTTTGATTACTGATTAGTCTCTGACTAGTTCAAGCGACAGCTGCTTCGCTAATAACTGGGCAGTTAAACTAGTCAGTTTCTGATCAACCGATCCAACCAGTTTTTGATCAGTTTCTAATCAAATATTTTTTTATTAAAACTCTGTCAAACAAATTTCATCGTTCGATTTAGTATTGTAAAATATTATATTTTATCACTCAATATCAAAATAACGTAAAACTTGTATTTCAGAAGATAGAGTCTTTTCACGTGCAAATTCATTCATTACCGAGATAGTCGGAGCTTTATGTTTAATTATCATTCTTTCTTGCCTAACTTCTGGCCAAGAAATACTGGCAAATATTTTCCTGTTAAGTCTCTGAATAATTACGGTCTAATAAATCCTAGCCTGTAAAAACTGGCCCGTTTCTGGCTGACGGCTAGAAGTTTTTCCTGGGAATTTTTCTGCTCGAGTTCTTCCGACGCTACGCGCAAACTGCGCGACAACGTCAGTTGTACACGTCACGCAGGCGATAATGGAACGAACTTACGACATTTATCAGATCAGTTCCGTTTGAACGTTGATTATTGAGCGCGGCGTGTCGATTCGATTTCGCCTCGGATTATCGCGATGATGGATAGGACGCGCGTGGAAATGCGCGCGACCACCAACGCGCCGGTTACGTCTTCGGGATAATGTCGGGGCAGCATGCACTGCGTGCAAGTAAGTAGATTTTCACGTAATTCGGCGCTTGCGTTTTTCACGTCGCCCCCGCAAAAGCTCCAGTTGAGCGCCGCGGTCGACTTCTCGCTGGGCTATTCCGGAGAGAGCAGAGGGAATTTGAATTGGAAAGGACCATGCAGTGATGAGATGAATATTAATGAGAAAAATCACGAACGCGAAATTATATGAACTCCCGTCTCCCATCGCGAGAAGCAACAGGCAATTGGGTAAAAAAATGAAAAAAAAAAAAAAAGAAAAGGAAAAACCGCGACAGAGAGTGACATTTCCATTTCAAGCTGACTAGTGTGTCGAACTGATAGAACCGAAATACTGGAATCGAAGCGACGCGTTTTGTATTCGCACGGAAATTATTTCGAGCCGCGTTGATGAATTATATCCACGGACGTGGAGCGTTACGGCACTCTCTCCTCGGAATAAGTGAAGAGCGACGGCGGTGAAAATAGTTTGCCGCGCCGGCAAGAAGCTCCATCGACGTTTACGCGAATTTCCAGAAGAAATTTCGGTGTCGTCCGCCACGTCAATACCCATCAACTATGATAATCACTATTATTATGGCGCGTTGCAAGGGAAGAAAGGTGTACTTTATCCTCCGCGATGGAACGTTAAATTGGTTTTCGGACCGGATATCGATGGAGAATTCGCCGATGGAACACGCGGTGACGGAAATAAATGGATAGATTTTTCCGATAAAAGACTCTCTCTCTCTCTCTCTCCTTCTCTTTCTTTTCCTTTCGCTCTGCCGTCCCTGTTCTTCCCCGAACGTTGGAATCTGTTTTTAAAAAGGCATAAGTATTCGCGGTAGTCGAGCCTCTCCGCGTACATACATATCATTCGCGTTCTTGGCGCGTTCGAATCGAGAAATCCTTATCCACTCTGCCTATTCAAAACGTTAAAACCGCCCGCGCACGTCCCGGCAGGAAGCACCAGTTTAAAAATCCCCCTGAATATCTCCAGAGAAGTCGGCGCTCGCGGTGACATAGACACGAGATATAACTTACTCGTACGTGATCCCCTCGCGAATTGCGGCAACACGATTGGAACACGTCCCAAAACGTTTCTTCTTTCACGAGGGTCGCGTCTCGCGATACCCGAGTCGAGGCGAACTCTATACAACCGGTGCAGGCAACCATCGTGCATTATTCTCAATTTGCACGGACATTTACGATCGTCTCTACGAGCTTGTTACGCGGTAAAATTGCCGTGACGTAATTACAGAACATCGTAATGCCGAGTTATTACTAACCCAAGCATTCGGTATTGATTAAAGAAGATCACCGTACTGAGGCCTCGGACTCATCTTTCTCTTCTCACTCTCTCTCTCTCTCTCTCTCTTTCTCGCGTCAACACGATATAAATGCCGACACCGGTAGTGCGCAAATTAACCAGGGAAATCTGCTCTAACTCCCACGGGTCGAGTAGATGATTTCCGTGTTTACGAAGCCCGAACAACCTTCGAGCGTTCACTGGGAATGGTATCGATGGGCGCATTGAGCTCAGATACATGGATCCCCGACGGGTACTCGTAACGATTTCCGGGAACGTGAGAAAAATGCGAGATAATCGTGATCTGACATGCAGAATTGAAAACGCTCACGGCGTCGGTACGGAATGCCTGGTGTGTTACGCTCGGGAAATGCGGAGGATGTCGGGCGACTTTGAATAAAAATGACGCGGTGATCTTTACGATCGCTCGTAAAGATATCGCGAGTGACGGCGGAAATGAAGGAGTGTGATTTCTCGAAATATTCCCGTTCCATTCACAAGAGGCGTACTGTGAAAACGATCGTTCTCTTCCGCAGTCGCGTTCCATAGATTTTTGTTCTCGTATTCTCTCTTGAGTAATCAAACGCAGATCTTTCTTTTTCTTCTTTCGCGGATAATTTAAAATGGCATCATTGATTCTCTTTCGTTAGACCGTTAAATTCCGTCGTGCAAAGCATTCGCGATAGAAGACGCTAAGAGACGGAGGCCATATATTGCCCTAATTTAATCTGTGTAACGCGTGGCCGCGCATCTCGTGCACTTCGATACACGTTACTCATTATTTCGTAATGATGTTACATCGAAAATGCATGATATCACATCAACGCATGCGGAAGCTAATCGGTTCTCCGACTGTAGACAATCTCCGATTGTCACGTCGCGGCGCGGAAGATTCGATATTTAATATTGCGCGAGTAAAATAAATAATTTTTACTTCTTACTCCAACTTATGCCAAGCTTACTCCGCGTATTGTAGGCGAGCCTTAAGTCGGACAATGATTGCGAAACGAAGTCGGGTCAAAGTGGAATCGCAAAAAGATTCACAATCGAGTGTGCGACGCAATCCTTGCGAAGGATTTGGCAAAGAGCAATTCATCAAAGCGCCATGCATTTCTGTACGAAAGGCCGCGCGAGCTATCAACGTCCGTTCGAAGCGACGCCTGCACTACTCGATCACCCGATTCACCGTCGAATAGTGAATTCCGGGGACCGACGACGTGCATCGAATCCAACTCGATTCGCGTCAAACGCGAAAAGAATGAGATCAACAGGTGACGAATCGGTTGTGGCATAGTGCCCGGGGTAAATTAGCGAACTTGAGATATTTAATATCGGCGATGCCGCGTCGAGTCGCTTCACGGCGACCCAAAAATAAATCGCTGCGTAGAGCGTCGCGCGCGTACCCTAACGTGAGGTTCCGCTAATAGAATTCCGTGTATATGCAATTAGCTCGCTAATATATTCAGCGCGAAGGAAAACACCGGGCGACAGAGTGTAAAAATCTCAAAACAGAAGAAAAAAGAGGATTAACAGGAGCTCGCCGGCGCTAATTTTACCCGTTTCACTGTGATTAATCAGTCTGTGTCTCTTGGATATTATATACGGAGAAAATTACTGTGGTTGCTAACATATTCCATAGTTAGAGAGAGAATTTATGTGATTTCAAGTTAAGTAGATATGGCATTCAGAGTTGCTGTTGCTGTATGCCGATTGATACATTTCTTCTAGCCCAACGTAATATTCAGTTAGTACACTTTCATATATGTATAGTTGCCTCAACCAAAGGAATGTTACTGTCTTTCTGTTGTGGTCTACAGAACGAATACTATGGCTGAGAAATCCGTAAGATTTAGTTACGCTATATATTACTGAGAACATTGCTTAAACATGGATAGACGGCAAAAAAGGCCAATGCACTACTTCCAGAGTACTGTGATACTCTTCCAGAGTACTACGACCATCTTATATGCATGGGCGAAAAGTATCATTAACATTTTGTTATAGCAATCATATTTAGGTAAGAGATATCCTTAGTGTTTTCTCCGTGCACTCTCTCAAGTACAATTAGTATATTTTTCACTGAAATGTTCTGCACTTATGACTGGTAGTTCAGTTATAAATATATTGAAGTTTTGCGAACATAGGCAATGTCATTGCACGCAAGGTGCATGGAAACTGTTAATTCCGTCGTCATAGACGCAGAAAGTTTGATTTAGTATGTAACGAATTTATTTGTTGCAGATTTTGCAGCGAAATCTTACTTTCACTAGCCAAAATCAGTCAGAAGATGAAGCTGTGGAAATGGGAGTATTTCCTCTAAAAATCAGTGAATATTCGCTGATTATCGGTGAAAAACTCCTTGAAACATTTTTACTGATTTGCGCTTGGAGAGATCATCGCGCAATTCATGATGTGTTCTCTGCTTTTACCGTATCGTATCGTTATCACGAACTTGCTTTATTTCTTCCGACTGCGGTGGCGAGTTCTATCCGCACAGCCCTTCCCCCTATCCTACTCTACGCGGACAATGGAGAGTCCCTAATCCTATAGAACGTTAGCGTCGTGTGTTGTCGAAGTGGCAAGAACAAACAAGGTTTACCGATCTCAGTCGTCGCGGTGGCGTCGAATATTGCAAGTTGGAAAATCGGGTCAAGTGTTATACGGCTCTACGTGACTCGCGGACGTAGTATTGATACACGGCTGGAACAACAATAGACACATGGCCGTGTCAACATGCTTATAATGTCAGTCTGAGAGGGACCTTATAATTCAGCCGGTAAATACGTTTCTTGTGCACCCGAGGGGGACTTGTAATAACTGAAAAATTTCAAGAAAGCACGGCACTCGTAACCTACCGGCAACAACAAAGGTGCGCGCTACGACGGAAGAAGAAAGGATCGATCTCTCGTCGTATTTATATATTTTATCGCGACTACGTCACACACATCGTGCATAAGTCTTTCTGCGGTTATTTATACTCGCGCATTGTTTCCACGCACCATTGTAAGGCGTTTCATGCCGAGGCCGGGGGGAGAGAGGAGGGCAGAGGGCTGGTACGCTCGCGTTTCGAGTACACGATGAATTTTATTTGGGGAAACAATGCACTAGAGTCACGTACCTGCGAAGCACCTATACGCTGACGACAACGACGATGACGACGACGTCGGGATTCTCGTGTCTTCGGGTCGACATCTCCGTGAATTTCTCTGCTTCTACATGATGGCGTTTACACGTCGCGGGCCTTTTCCTCAATAAAATGTTCTTCTTCGCGGCGACTGGTGAGAACGGCTCCTCTCAAAATGGAACGTATCGCACGACCTGCTTTCGCGCTTCCGCATTTCGCCGCGTCGCCGTAGGAAAAACAGCCCGTCATCCTGGCTTTTTCTCCGTCAATTTAAAATCGCGTTAGCATGCGAGAGTCTAGCACCTCGACAAGAGATCCAGAGGGGAGATACCGAAACATTGGCCTGATTTATAACCGGCAACAGTCGCGCCCAATGCGACGATCTTGCGATTCGTTAGTCACGATTTCGAGTGTGCTTGTCGTGCTGTTCGATATCTTCGAGGAACTGTCAGTTAGTTCGAGATTCATGGTTCAACTTGTCCCGATCGCACAGCGTCGTGCAACAGCCGCCACTCCGGTCGAGCATGGCGCGGTGATTGCAAGATGTGTGCTCCGCTTGCGTGGAAAATCTGGATTCTTCGTCCAAGATGTCAAATTAGAGCAATTGTCTTCAGGAACATTGGCCTTTCAAGACATTCTCGGCACAATTCGTCAAGCTTTTGAGAAATCCCGCGGTCTCTCACGATTGTGCGGTTTATAGCGCTCGTAAATTCGGTCGCGTCCCCGACGCTGCTATCCTCGGCGAAGCGCTCGGCGTCCACAAGTCATCCGCGTTCGGCTCTCCGGCGATCGATTGTCAAGTCTCACGATTGTTCACCTCCATCAGTCGTGAACCGCGTCCCGCGATCCCGACGGTCTTTCCGTCGCTCTAACACACCGTCCGCGTCAGCCACGCGATATATTCGCTTCAAGTTTCAAACGGTGCGGCTAATAGAGAGGCAGGGACAGCCAGAGAGAAAGATAGAGAGGGATAGAGAGAAGCTCGAATCTTAGTTGCTGCCAATCAAGGACAATAACACACGCGATACGGCCGAGACTGCCGCGGAGACGGTATCGAGCGCGCTATTTCCGAGCGCGTCTCTCCATGATTCAGAATATCGCTCCGTCGCGATCCAGGATAGTCGATTCGACCTTGACTCTGGCCGTTCGCACGGCAGAACGCTACGTAGATATACATATGCATAAATCCGCGTCCGTCCCGGAAGCGTCCGTCCGCGGGGACACATCGATCGCGTCCAGGACGCCGATCGAGGTCGCTATTTTTCAGGCTGTTCTCGGAGGGGTGAGCGCCGTCGTTTCGGGGAAACGCCGGCTCCCTGGGCTCGGTCGCAGCCACGCACGCACACAGCCGACGTTGCTTACTCGTCCCAATTCGGAGGTCCGTCCGGTGCCGGCCGTCGCCTCATCCCCGCGTTCTCCAATTGCACTGATCGCGCGACGCAACATCCAGCCCGGCAATTCCGCGCCTGCGACAGTGCCTGCGGCATCCCGTAGGATCCGAGAGCACGGGACTGATTGGGAATTCGCCAGACGAATTAGCGCGCGCTGCTGCACCTGTGCCGGACGAAATTGTTGACGGGACGCTGCTGCTGCTGCTGCTGCTGCTGCTGCTGCTGCTGCCGCATCCGAGCCGATTATAACGCACGTCGCGCAACGCTCGTTGGCAGGCGAAAAGGTCGCGTGAGCATCAACCGGACTGTCGCGATCTGTAACAGATAATGAAGGCCGACAGTTGCGAGCTGCCAATAACTCCGGATTAATCCCGTCGAACTGTCCGAAGCGCGTTACGTGCAAATGAACGGGCGAAGATAGAAATTAAAGAGGGCCCCGAGCGGATCGTCCGGAACGTTCTTAGTCATGCGGACAGTCCAAGTTCTTAATTAGATTCCTTGTTGTCTGGGTTGGATCGCGAAGAGTCCAACTCGCGCGTCGACATTCGCGTTATGGCGCGCGCGCGGACATACCGATATATCGCTCTTTCTTCTTTCGCACTTTAATCGAGAGATCGACACAGCAGCGGGCGAAGTCTTTAACTTGCTGCGACGATTAATCCGACGATGAGTCTCGCGAGTTTCCCGCGCGTTAACAGCGCAACGTCGATATCGCCGGACGAGTTGCAAACGAATTTACGAAAGTTATGAACGAGAAGCGACGCAGGTGCGCGCACGTGCGAGCGTCGCGCGACTGCAACGGCTAATGAAAGCCCGCGGTTATGAGCCGCGATTAATCTGGGCTTAATCTCATCGAGTCCTGTACTCGTTATACGATGGATTAAGGACGAGTTAATTATCGTCCAGGCTTAAAGGCAGGCTATTTCATTAAACACCGAACCGTGAGTGGATCGCGCGGATATTGTCCGCGCATTATCGAAATACACTCTGGCGAAATTCACGGGGACTCGCCGGAGGAACGACTGTATCTCTTTCCGGAATATTGTGGTCTCTCGCATGAACCGAGTTATGGAAGGCCCCGCAGTTATGTCTTCGGAGTGCAATTAATTTCAGCTCGGCTATTAAAGCCGAGCCCTAATTGGCGTGAACGATGTGTCGATTATTATTATCCGATCATTAAGCGGGAACGGTTCGCAATTCAAGTCGTGCTACACACATTTTAAACCCCGACGGATAAAAATTATACCATCGATATACCGATTGATCCGATAAGATTTCGTTAATTGGATCGCGTTTATCTCCCGGTGGACATTTATTCCAGCACCGTGGAATCGCGCAGAATTGTGCTTCAGCGGTGTGAGATTTAAAAGAACTCGTCAGTTGTCGCGCGGATAAACGCGCGCGGATTCGATAAGATATATCGGGGCGACGTTCGACGCATTTGCTTCTCGTACGAGCGGACTTATTACATGACAGTCATTCGCATCTAATGAGAAATACACGGGAAGAAACGGGTTCCCCCGAAGGGGCAAGGCAAGAAATCGAAAGCTTGCAAATAAAAACGATTATGCGAGGCGCGGCTCGGGATAATGAGCAAAGTTTTTCGATTACACTTTACTCGCACTTATTGGAATCGCGCGGTGATAGCGCGTGCCGACTTCTTCTTCTCCATCGCGGAATATGCATGCACATCGCGAATGCGCCGTTCACAGTGCAGTGCAGTGTGGTAGTTGTTGCTGCCGCGTTGATAAACGTGTAATATTTCTTTCTATTTCCAATTCCATCGCGAAACCGCCGATTCGAGTCGAGCTCGGAAGCTCGAATATCCCCTGTCGCGATAGCCTCATCCTCCACAACCGTATAAACTTATTCCCTCGATCCCAATGACTGTGTACCGTTATTAAACTTCAGAAATAGACGCGAGGTATATACGCGCCGCGGTCTATTCACCAGGCCGATGTAAATGGATGCGCCAATGGTTTCTTCCCCCGTGTTTCTATGCGCCATGAAGAAAATTCTTTGGAGAGAATGGGGGAAGAAAAGGGAAAGTACAACTCGAATAGAATCCGCTGAATTAATCCATTCTGTCGATACTGAACTTAAACTATATTAAGACGGAGGATTGGTCCATTTAATCCATCACTTAATCACATACTGTTCAATCCTCTCGTTGGCTCTCGCTCGAGATAAGAAAACCTGTGTAATATTATTCCCGCGGAATCTTAGGGATCAGATGATATAGTGGAATAATGTTGCAGTAATACACTTCTTGTCGAGAGCGGAACTTTGCTGGAGAATGAGATCGCGAGTCTATTATGTGTGTGTACGTTAAGAGTTAATGATTACATAATGTGCTATTAAATTTTATAGCTACATCAAATACAGTATCTCGTATTTGTCCAGTATCTTAACCATAATTACTTCCTACATCCCTAACGTCCGTTTTAGTAGTTGTTACTTGAAACTTGTGTCACGTGAGATAATGAAATTCTTATTCAAAATTAAATCTATGTTTTTCAGTTGAATTTTACACAATATATGTGACATTTATATATTTGCAATCACGATACAACTGAAAAACTCTTATCCAGCTCTGAATTCAAACCTGCGTATCTCACTTGAGAGTTTCAAACAATAACTCTATTAATTTGTTTTCAGATAATTCATAAATTTGTCATATATGTAAAATTGAAAGAAGTTTATTCTTAAATATTAAAATAATATATAACGAGTTAAAAGCACAAAAATATCAAATCACCATTGAAAATTTTATGTGAGCGCCTTTTTAATGAGATTTTAATGAAATGGAGTGTACATCTGTGAAACGTGTGAGGTACGATTCCCTCCTCCCATTTACGTAGATAACTGTCAGGTTTAAATCACCCAAGGAGCGGTATTCTCAATATGCTGTAATTATCGTGAATAATGTCCCACTACAACACATTATTCTCAAACGCTGCTGGTAAAATATGGAACATATCGCAGCAGGCTTTCATACGAGGGAATTGCGAGACAAATTGTCACGAAGTCCATGTATGCGCATGCGATGACACACACACACATCGATTGAGATAATGAAAATTAGTCGATTACTCGTGGTTCATGGAACAAATCTCGCAATTGTTCAATATTCAGAGCGACGCTCTCACACAAAAACTCACTGTCGAGAATTTCACTGTCCTCGTTCGTCACTCATAACCTGTTAGTTGGTCGCGTTTTTGCAAAGATCGCGCCGCGTAGTTCCGGCGGACGTAAACAAAGGAAGGTCTGTTTATCTCGCGACGCTTCTTTCGTTGCACTGTTGCCATTTGCGTCTATCTCTGTCGGCGTGAAAATATCGTCTATCACCCGCGCGAATATCCGTGCGCTGCGGTGTACGCGACGTTCCCGACGGTGTAATCGTTTAACGAACGCGGTGGAAAAATTCATACTATCTGCGCGAAGCTTCAGGTTTATATGGCTCATTATTATCGTCATTGGGAAAGTAAGTAAAAAGCACAATATTTCCGTGGCATCACCAACGTTTTAACATTGTACACTATCGCGTAAAATGTACAATAATAATAATAATAATATTTTTCCTCGGTTATATATATATATATATATATATATATATATATATATATATA